CTGGAAATGTACATCAGCTTTCATCATGATAAGTGAAGCAAAGATGTCACCTCGGATGGATAACATGCATGAATTCTGTCCTGCCTAATGACTGCCATTCTGAGAGCTTGCACAGCTGAGTTATTGACAGAGGTTACGAAGCTTGTAGGAAAGTCTTTGGGTTAACACCCATAGTTCTGCCCCACACACAGCCAGAACTGCTACTTCCCTGTATGTTCGCTCCAGAAAGAAGAGAAAAAAGCTTCAATCAAAACCATCTCACAAATTGTATCTGGTTAACACCAAAGAAGAAAAAAAAAAACACAACAAGCCACACCCTTTTACTTATTAAAAACAAGGAAAAGAAACTAGAGAAGGTTAGCCCCAGAAAAACTATCTGCGAAATCCACCTATGTTAATTAGGTACAAGAAGTCTCCATGGAAACCCAAGTCAGGCATACCTGTACACCCACTGCAGGGTAGGCTTTCAAATGGAAGCATCACATGCTGATGACAAAGTCTTTCAGACATTCCTTAATGTACACGGAGCCAAGTCTCTCAGAGGATAAAATGATGCACCCTTTCGTTTCCATAACAAGCAGTAGAATCCTTCTTACAGTACGACACAATGAACTTTGAAACTGTAATCACAGTGTCACTGGGCTCACACCTGCTTTTTGTGCTTTACATTATCTGTACTTAACATCTTAATCTATAATACTTAATAAATGTTTTGTCAATAGCAAGGTGATAAACCAGAGTCAACTGATAAAGGGCAGTTTTCCAACTCTGGTTTATGCTATCCTCTTTCTTACTAGCATTTTGTTGAAATTTCACATTCTTCAAATAGGAAGTTTCAAAGTACTTCTGAAGCTTCTTCTAAATCTATAATAAAGGGGGATTTGTTTTGTTGGGGGTTTTTGTTTATTTTTCTTTTTCAAAAAATTACTCAGGTTTTTTGTTTGTTTTATTTTTCTTTTTCAAAAAATTACTCAGGCATAGCACTTCTTAGATGCAGCTATGAGAATGGGGTTGATCAATATTGATTGCTAAATTGGGAAAGCTTTAGGAACGTCACACACCAGTATAGTATGGCCTGACCAGTTTCTCCATTTTGGAGATACTGGGAAGACAACCCACCACTAACATTTTCCTGCTCTTCCCAGAGCAATAAGGAATTATGACTGACCTTCACATCTGAGAGTTGGCAGCAAAGTGGTTCTTTGCATTGTAAGTTCTGCCTTGAAATACATGTTTTTAGCTTTCTGGAAAACAAGGTTTTAAATTGGAAACCCTGACATATCTTTAACTGCAGCAATAACAAATAATATCAGTGTAATTTCTCTTGAAAGAAATTGCTCCCTATTCTTCTCCAGTTTTGAGCTTAAAACCTTTCATTGCTGATGCTGTTGTCAATCTTATCTAGTGACCTCAAGCACAGAATTACTGATCGGAATTTGAAGAGTACGGAGCAGGCTTTGACACTAATACTACTCAAGATTTTGTAGACCTGAATTGTTTTTAGGGCTTGGTCAGAAAGGCCACCTTTCTTTCATGTAAAAAGTCAACAAGCCACCTCCAAGGTTTTGCAAATGAATTTGTCATAGCAATTAAGGGAAAGAAGCTATATAAACATGATAAAAGGTGACTAACATCACTATGCACCGTTACATTAAGCAATAAGAAAGAGACCTTTAACACATTGCTCTGAACACTTAGGAAATCAAAAATACTGTCTGGATAGCTACATTCTTTGACTTTCAATGAATCAGTGCTGTCTGCAACACGCACCTGACCTGTGAGAGAAGGGGGAAAAAACCTCAAACCAAATGAAGTAGCTTCCAATTATTTGTAATGGAAGCTCAAAGAGTTCCAACTCACATTATGGGTATGGACTCATATTAACACAATGCAGAATCAGGCAGCCCCACAGGCAGACTCCTCCCCTGCTCCCCCAACATATTTTGAAAAGGCAAGAGCTTGAAATCCATTGGAAAGAAGATTGGTGTAGCCGCCCTGGTTAAAATACATGGCCCATTCAACGTATCAGGATTCTTCTGAACTTCCCAATGGGGCTTTGAACAACCTGGTCTAGTGGGAGGTGTCCCTGCCCAGGGCAGGGGGGTTGGAACCAGATGATCCTTAATGTCCTGTTCAACTCTAACCATTCTATGTAAAGACAGTGGCAGGGAGCAGACAGCACATATAGAAAGCAACCACATATAAAGCACATCTGAGAACACTGAGACACTACTGGGGATAAAAGTTGGGATAACTGGCAATCTAAAGCCATAAGGGTTGCAAAATCCACCTCATTGTGAAAGCTGGCCACTCAATTATATTTGGTTAACACCATACAGAATGGGTAAAATAAGCCTCCTTGTTGTGGAGTTTTGTGTTTTGTTTTTTTTGTAGGGTTTGGGGTGGGAGGGAATTGTTTGGTTGGCAGGTGGTTTTTTTTTTTTAAACACAAATGCCACACTTCCTAAGCTTCCCTCACCAGTATTGCTAGTAGTTTGGAAGGGGTTTATTTTGCTCCCATGGGTTGCAGTGGAATGCAATCCTTCCACTGCATTGATCCAGCTTCACTTAGTGTTTTCACTGTTAGCCAGACGCCACATTCTCTGTGTGACTACAGAACAGTGGAGTTTCCAATGCACCAGTTAGAATAGTCAAACATCAGCTCTACATTTTCAGATACCAAATCTACTTAATAAATATATAAAAAGCACCCATGCACATACAAGTAGCGTTTGCCAACAGATATTAGCAGACTCCAGTCCTGTTGAATTCACAGGGCTTTTATCATCTTGTTGTTTACAAATTTTACTGCCATTCATCATTGCAAATCATCAGATGTACTTGTGGCTGAAAAAATGGTAACTCAGAAGGTAGAGATGAGTGCAAATGCATTAATCAGAGATCATGATTTTTCCTACCAGGAATGTTACGCTCTCACAACACCTGTAATTAGACATACACAGTATCTATCATCTTCTCAGTTATCCAATATTATGAGGACTGCTAGGTCTGGGTGGAAATGGGGATAAATAACTCATATAAAGCAAAAATACAGGTAATACAAAGTATTCTTTAAATTAGGTAATGGAAATACATTTCCGTTTTAGTATCTCTGAAAAAAACCATAAATAGATTTTTGCAGAGCACACTGGCAGCTTAAATAGTGAGAGTTGGTGCATGAGCATCATGAATTCCTGGGTCTTTCCCAATTGTGGATGGAGGGAAGCAGGGGGTCAGATTCACTGCCAGGAAATTTTTATGTAGTTTTTCAACTTAGTAACGATTACCTTGTTGGAAAAGGGCTGGGGGGGAAAGACTAGTCAGAGATTTTCAAGACTATCTAGTGCTTTTAACTGTGCTCTGCACAAAAAGGAACAATGGGTATGACTATATCCCCTCTGATACCTTCATAAATCTAAAGCATAAGCCACAACCACACATTTAGTGACCTACATATAGTTTATTTTCTGTACAAATTGTATAGTTTTACCATACTAATTTGGTCAAGTTAAGTAGCTGAGTACCAACTGGGTTTCAGAGTACCCTTAAGGATCAAATCGTGACATTAATTGTCAATACCAAAACAACAACAACCTACCACAAATTAACTAAGAATTCAGCATTATCAGAATTTTAAAGAGTTTATCTGCAATTGAAAAATCTTTAAAGCAACTTCTAATATTCAGAAGGAAAGATGTTTTAGAAGTTAAGGGTTAAAACAAGAACACTAGCAACACTTGCTGGATGTTCACTAATTTATGGAAAAAAGATTCTGAAAGAAAACAGCCAGCAAGATGCTGCTTTAGGTAGAATGTAAAAATAAAGCGAATGCCACCCATTGTCCATTTAAAGCCTAACACACTTGACCTAAAACTTTAAGCTCTGAATGCAACACACACAATCAAGAGCAGAAAATTAAGTAGTGGGTGGACAGAATCTTTTCTGCCTACCCTGAATAATAACTACGCTGCTTCTGCCACAGCTGTCAGAGACTATCCCTTGGGCACTCCATTAGAAAGCACATAGCAAAGTGTAGGCTCAAAGTCACATACAACAGTAGGCTGGAGAGACTTCACTCTGTTTCCACAAAGAAAACTGCTCTCTGCACAAAAAACAGCACAGAAAACTCAGAGAGCTTCAGATCTCCTTGTGTGAGCCAACAGCATTGAGGAAAAGAAAACAAATGGCAGAAGACTGCAAGCTTATCTCAAGCACCAGTGACTGAGTTCTTGTCCCTGTGGTTTAATGATTCAAGCTTGACTTAAAAGTGACTTGAGACACTACAAGACCCCCGATGCTGGTGCGTATGCAGCAGGAAGGAGACCAGGAGGTAACAACCACACAAGCAATCAAAACATCACAGACACAGCTGGCTAATCCTCTTACACCTTCCTGAAACCCAAATACAGATGCAAAGTGAAATAAAAAATAATTAATCCACTACCTCCAAAGCCATCCCTACCTACGTAGGTTGTACTACAAACACTTTTTATACCATTCTTGTTACCAACTTTTGAGCTTTTTACCCACCCCTCAACTGCCACCATTTACCACTCCTGCTTTTGAACCCATCCTTTACCCCCATGCCCTCAGTATGGTTCATCTCAATCCACTTTCAGAGCTTGTTACTTTTCCCTCAATATTTTCCCTTAAGTACATTCTCATTATCTCATGTATTCATTTTCATTCATTATCCTGCTATTGTCTCTGCTCCATTTTAATTGCTCTCATTAAGAACTTTAAAGACCAGTCCAAAAGCCAGATCCCAAATCACAATATATACATCAAAACAGTCCCGCTTTATTTACAAATACTCTGTACCATCATAAATTACCATATCAGATTGTGATTATTCACAGAAAGTCATGGAATATTTTTTCAAACATTTACTTAAACAAAAATAACAATTCTTTTCCCCAGAAACAGGGGCTTCCAATTTACTTAGAAGAAAAACCTCCCTGCTTTTCTATTTAAAGGAGAACCAGGAAAGTCAGGCCTACCTGTGCAAGCCGCCCCAGGGCATAGAGGGTGAGTTTCTTCAGGTCTTTGTAAAGAACCTCTCTAAGCTCCTGATAAGGCTCCCAATTGGGGCTGAAGTGTCCCTGGGTGATTTGCTTTTGCCTCCTATGGTAGTTCTCCCAGAACACTTGATCTCTTGGAGGTTCACTGCTTCTGTAAATCGTTCTGTTTCTGGCCAAGACCTTTTCTGCCATCTGAGCAAAGACAGGCAAAGCCTGAATGCACACAAAATCTGGAGGATACAACACTTCAGTGGCTGCCAGCACCTTGCGTCTGCTGCTTCTACGTGTGTTTGGTACCACAAATGCCTTCAGTCTGCTGCTTCTACGTGTATTTAGTACCACAGGTGCCTTGAGGCTGCTGCTCCTACGTGTGTTTGGTACCACAGGTGTCTTGAGGCTGCTGCTCCTACGTGTGTTTGGTACCACAGGTGTCTTGAGGCTGCTGCTCCTACGTGTGTTTGGTACCACAGGTGTCTTGAGGCTGCTGCTCCTACGTGTGTTTGGTACCACAGGTGTCTTGAGGCTGCTGCTCCTACGTGTGTTTGGTACCACAGGTGTCTTGAGGCTGCTGCTCCTACGTGTGTTTGGTACCACAGGTGTCTTGAGGCTGCTGCTTCTACGTGTGTTTGGTACCACAGGTGTCTTGAGGCTGCTGCTTCTACGTGTGTTTGGTACCACAGGTGTCTTGAGGCTGCTGCTTCTACGTGTGTTTGGTACCACAGGTGTCTTGAGGCTGCTGCTTCTACGTGTGCTTGGTACCACAGGTGTCTTGAGGCTGCTGCTTCTACGTGCACCTGCTACCACAGGTGTCTCAACTCCGTGGTTTTTAGATGCACCCGGTGCTGGCATTGTTCCATGGTGTTTCTGCTCCCTAAGTTATTAAAAACTCTAGTTTTCCAGTCATAAAAACACACAACTGCTGCCCAAACTCTGCAGCAAGTCTTTTTAATTTTCTAAAGGGTAGCCCAGCAGAAGAATCTGCTGCAAACCAACACTATGTTAAGTCTCACTCCTCCCAAACAATAGAAATAAATCCTGAGGGGCGAAAACCTAACCAGTCTCCAGGGGAACACTCAGAGCCATAATACCACCACTCCCCCTTACACATTCCACCCGCCCCCCGAGGGGTTTTACTACAAACAAAACTTCCTTTACACCACAGCACAACCTCCCCTCCCCACGGTCCTCCCGTCTCCCAAACTCTAGGGACCAGCCAGAAAAAAAATAAATAAATAAATAAAATAAATAAATAAAATAAAACAAATCCCTGTGGACAAGCCAAAACTCCCCCCAACCTCCTTCCTCAGGGCGCCGCGGGGGGCGAGGACCGACCCCTCTCCTCAGCCGCCTCACAGGACGGCGCGCGCGGCTCCGCGCGACCGTTAACGGCTAACGGTTGCCCGGGAAACCACCCCCTACTCCCCCCCCCGCCGCCTCGCGCGGCGCCGCGCACGTGCGCCGCCCTCCGCGCGCCTGCGCGGGGCAGGGAGTTGGGGGGGGGGGAAGCGGAGTGGCGCGGGGGTGCCGCGCATCGGGGCCTGAGGAACGGGTCTTGCACGGGGCTGTACATAACGGTGCTGAGCACTGGGGCCTGTGCAGGGCCTTGCACAAGGGCCTGAGCACGGGGCCCCGCATGGGGCTGTACACAAGGGCTGCTCACTGAGCCTTGCACGAGGGCTTGTGCACTGGGCCGTGCATAAAGGGCCTGAGGAATGGGTTTTGCACGGGGCTGTGCACAAGGGCTGAGCACCAGGCTTTGCATGGGGCTGTACATAACGGTCCTGAGCACTGGGCCCTGTGCAGGGCCTTGCACAAGGGCCTGAGTACGGTGCCGTGCAAAAGGGCCTGAGCACAGGACCTTGCATGGGGCTGTACGCAAGGGCCTGAGCACCAGGCCTTGCACAACACCATACACAAGGGCCTGAGCACAGGGCCCCACATGGGGCTGTACACAAGGGCTGCTCACTGAGCCTTCCACGAGGGCCTGAGCACGGGGCCATGCAAAAGAGCCTGAGTGCAGGGCCCTGCATGGGTCTGTACACAAGGGCCTGAGCACCAGGCTTTGCACAGCACCATACACAGCATGGGGCTGTACACAAGGGCTGCTCACTGAGCCTTGCACAAGGGCTTAAGCACCAGGCCATGCATAAAGGGCCTGAGCACTGGGCCGTGTTCAGGGTGCTGAGCACCGGGCCTTGCACGGCGCCGTGTACAAGGGCCTGAGCACAGGACCTTGCATGAGGCTGTACCCACGAGGGCCTGAGCACGGGGCCGTGCAAAAGAGCCTGAGTGCAGGGCCCTGCATGGGTCTGTACACAAGGGCCTGAGCACCAGGCTTTGCACAGCACCATACACAGCATGGGGCTGTACACAAGGGCTGCTCACTGAGCCTTGCACAAGGGCTTAAGCACCAGGCCATGCATAAAGGGCCTGAGCACTGGGCCGTGTTCAGGGTGCTGAGCACCGGGCCTTGCACGGCGCCGTGTACAAGGGCCTGAGCACAGGACCTTGCATGAGGCTGTACACGAGGGCTGCTCACTGGGCTTTGCACAGGGCCATGTACAAGAGCAGAGCACCAGGGCCGTGTTCAGAGGTGCTGAGCACTGGGCCTTGCACCAGGGACTGTGCACAAGTGTTTGAGCACCAGGCCTTGCATGGGGCCGTGCACAAGGGCTGAGCAGGAGGCCTTGCATGGGGCTGTACACAAGGGCTGATCACCAGGCCTTGCACAGGGCTGTGCACAAGGGGCTGAGCACTGAGCCCTTGAGGTGGCTGTGGAGCCTTGTGTGGGGTGTGCTCCCCACGGCACCTTACTCAGCCCTGGGCTGTGTGTCTGTGCCCCACGAGCGTTCCTCTGGCCACGGGGGGAGTGTGACTCCCTCTGGCCCCCGGGGATCACCAGCAGGCAGCAGGTAGGGGAGGGTTCCTCCAAGCGTGAAGTTACCAATGGAGCTGGATTTTTTCACCATTCTTCCAACCGAAGGACAAGCTAAGGTGTCCCCCCCAGGCTTAGGGCCACCACAACTTGTGGCTGAGGGAGGACAGGGCTGTAAACGTGTTTTGCCTCAGGTAAACAAAACTCTGGTGCTTCGCAAAATTGTTAGAAGGCTCGGTGGTTAAATGCTTATCAATATTTCAATTAATGACGTGCAATCCTTGGCTTCTGTTCTGGGTGGCATTTTGGGACACATCCCCCCTGTGCCCAGTCCAGGTGCCGCAGGCAGATGCTGTTCAGCCCTGGAGAAAACCCATCAAGTCTCACTCCTCCTACAACTGTTTTCAGTAAAAGCCTTTCAAACTTCACTCAAACCTTGTCAAACAAGCAGTAACTGGTGGCAAATGAGAACTCAAGATGAATTTAATACTGTATCTATTCAGCCCTAAAATACAGGGGTGACCAGCAGCAATAGCACGTTATTTGAGGCATATGATTTCCAGCAGATTGCGTTTTTAGCCTGTCAAGATCTGTCCAACCATTTGAATCCTGTGAGCTCTCTAAAGAGATGGGGTATCTAGGAACACCTCCTCCCTCTTGGTATTATTTCCTTGCATTTTAATCTGTCCAGCACTTCTTTGCTGTTACAACTTTTGATTTAGAGTGACGTGACCAGACATGAGAGGGCAGAAGCGATGAGCCATGGCCCGAGGAGCGGAGCTGTGGGGCTTCACAGCCCCGAGGCTGCAGGAGGATGCGGGGGACCTCATTTTCCTTCCTGGCTTTATATCTTTATATCTTCTGCAGATATTCTGAATTGCTCCCCACACCTGGTGTCTTGCACTGCTTTGGTTTCCAGGAAAAACTTCCCACCCATGTGCTGATCCAGGCCAGAGGTCCTCACACGCGGATCTGCCGAATTGTGGAGATGGAAATGCAATTTCTGCTACTTTTCTCATTGGCTGCAGCTTAATCATAGAATAATCCAGCTGGAAAGGAATATTCCCACACCCAGTGTTTGAGACAGCCATGAGAAATACCATGATTTGGTAATGATGACCCTCTGAGCACCTGCTTTTGTTGTACCTGGCTGTACGAGCGTGTTTTCAACTAAAACATTTGAGAAAGAACAGGTTTCAATGACTTCCCTAATAGAAATGGTGACATCTCATCTAGCACCAGGATTTCAGCCCCGGGGGGACTTAAGGGAAATATCTGCTAAACAATCACCACGTGAAAAATATAAAAGTGGCATTTTGAAGCAGCCTAAAATGTGCTTCTACATCCACAGAGTGATGCTTTTGCACCAGAAGAAGGTGCTGGGTTGGTTTTGCTGTTTGGTTTGCAATGGAAGAAGCCTCAGCTCAACCTTCAGCTGCCGCAGGTTGTGACCCGCCGGGGGCTTCAGGTCCTGGAGGGGGAGGACCCCGGCTGAGCCACGTCACCCCCAGTTTATTTAACATGAGGGAATCCAGATGCTGCAAAGTGCTGCTGGGGACGGGGGTGGGCACGTGAGAGCCGTCCCGCACCCACACCCCGCAGGCTTTAATGCTGTAACGCTTTGGAGTTGTGCCCAAAACACACTCTGCTTCCCCAGCGGATCCATTTTTTAATGGCCCTGAAATAAACGAAGTAAAGCGTGGCTTCATCAGGATGCTCAGGGGCCAGCGCGGCTGGGAAGGACCTGGAGGGGACATAGAATCACAGAATATTCGTGGTTGGAAGGGACCTTTGAGATCATCGAGTCCAACCACAAAAAAAAAACCCCAAAAACCCAAAAAACCCCCAACGCAAACCAAAAAAAAACCCCCACAAAACCAACCCAAACCAACACACACACACACCACCCACCCCAAAAACAAACAAAAAAACCCCCCAATCCAAACCAAAAAAACCCACACAAAACCAAACCAAACCAACACACACCTCACACCCACCCACAGACAGACACAACCCAACAATCTCAGGCACTAGACCTGACAAAATCCAACAATCTCAGGTACTAGAGCATGTCCTGAAGTGCCACGTCTACACGTTTCTTAAGTACCTCCAGGGATGGTGACTCCACCACCTCCCTGGGCAGGCTGTTCCAGTGCCTGACCACCCTCTCAGGAAAGTAATTCTTCCTAACCTCCCCTGTCCCAACTCCAGACCATTTCCTCTGCTCCTGTCATCATTCACTTGAGAGAACAGGCCAACACCAACCTCTCTACAACCTCCTTTCAGGTAGTTGTAGAGGGCAACGAGGTCACGCGTGGGGTGATGTCCTGCTGCTGCTGGAGCTACCCCATCTCTCCTGATCTCCCTACCCTGCAGTCCGTGCCCAGGTCCCCTGTCTCACCAGCACGGGCACCCGCACCCCACGGGCACCAGCCTCAAGCAAGGTTTTGCAGAGATGATCACGCCTTTCTCCAGGCTTTTTGCAATTTGTTTCTCCCAAAGTTTGTCACTGGGAGCCCACCCTACAAACTCCTCCCTGGCAAGAAGTTCCCTCCAGAGCCGTGGTGAGTAACAAGCCACCAGCCTGGAGATGTGCAAGCTGCCTGTGCCTGGCTCCTTACTGCCATCTCCATGTAAATAGGCTCCCCCCAAACCAGGGGAGGATGTATTATTCAGAAACAAACAAAAAAAGATGGATCTACAGGCTTGTGGTTTTGGAGATGCACAAAACCATTTTCCTTCCTCAACCCACAGTGGTTCCTGGGTTAAGTTTTTATGGTGACCAGCTCCAGTCCCCTTCCTCAGCTCCATTTCTCCTCCACCCTCTTCATCGCCTAGTCCCATTTTCAACAAATACTCCACGAATGACAAGTATGCATTTGTTTCTTTTTTCTTTCTGTGTCATTCCTCCATCCAGCTTACAATTTTTGGTGGCAATTTAACAGCTTTTACAAATTACATTCCTATCTTTTTCTCAGTTATTGTTACAGAGGAGAAAGCCCCATTTTTCACTGCGATCCTTCAAGTTTCTGCTGTCACTCTATTTAAGACTTTTTTTCTTTTTTTTTTTTTTTTTTTGTCCTTAGCTTTTATTTTCTTATCCCTCAAGGGCAGCCTTGGAAATTCAAAGCTGTTCCCTGACTATCAGTGGATCAGGTATTCTCTCTTGGCAGTTCTGCACCGACTGTCTCTCTTCCTTCCATCCTTCCACCTAAATGACACCCTTTTCTCAATAAATTACCCTTTGTCTTTCAAAGCGACGTTTCCATTTGTGACAGTTTGGATGTATAATAGTTGCATCCCAGCGGATACCTTCAGCGGCGTCAACTAACAGGCCAATACAGACTCACTGGTGCAGAAAATAAAGAGATTTACGTATTTTTGGGCTTTCTTCTCTCCCTCCCCCCAATAATTGGGCTGCGCTCTGAATTTTCAACATTTGAGTTTAAATTTATGGTTTCCTATCACCAAAAAACCCTCTCCTGGAA